TGAAAAAAATAAAATGTTTTATGGGTGAAAAAAAAATCTTTAAACTGTCACGCCCCCTTTTGCAATGCCGGTCCCTTGCCTGCCTGTAAATCCGACAGCAGCAGCCTAGGAAAATCTAGGAGCCTAGCGCGCTAAGTGCGTGCATGTGCGTGTGCAACAGACAACTGCATAGATATATACACGGTATATATATATACACAGGCACATACATACACATGCGTGTGCGTCAGAAGAGCGATCTGGAAGCTGATGTGTGCGAGGAGTGGATGCACGGAGAAGGCGCAGACAGCTAGCTCGGAGCACAGGCGCTGCTGGTTGGGAGCCTAGCGCGCTAAGTGCGTGCATGTGCGTGTGCAACAGACAACTGCATAGATATATACACGGTATATATATATACACAGGCACATACATACACATGCGTGTGCGTCAGAAGAGCGATCTGGAAGCTGATGTGTGCGAGGAGTGGATGCACGGAGAAGGCGCAGACAGCTAGCTCGGAGCACAGGCGCTGCTGGTTGATCATGGGGGGGGGGGGGGTTTCCCGGCCCAGCCAGTCAGGGCACAGCCTGCTGTTTGCTTACAGACTGCTTTTTTCCCTTTTTTTTACTCCACCCGGATTGGTTTACAACGCGAGAAAAGGGGCGTATCCTTATTCTCCCCTCCCCTCCACCAAAAAAATACCCAGCCCTACCTTCCTGAAACCTGACTAATTGAATTACAAGGAGATCCGTGTGATTCCTGTATGGCCTTGCTGCAAAATGTTACCATTTCAAGGGATCCTCGGTATAGGGATCCTGTCGTGCACTCGCACACCCATAAACTCATCCTTAAAAGTGGACAGCTGTCGCTGAAAAGAGTATAGAAAATAATTCAATCGTACAAGAAAGCTCTTCCATCACTTAGTTTAGCTTTAAATACATGATTTATACGCCACTGGGGATCTGACATCAGCTGTTACTGTTACCGCATCAGTCGAATTGGTTTGCAAATTGAAACTCTAATAAATATTATATAATCAAATTAAAACCGGGCAGTTGTTGAACCGTCTGTAAAACAGATTCTCCTCTGCTTTGTTTTGCCTTTAATCCCCTTCTTCCGGCAATTGCATTTTGCCTTGGAAACGCCTGTGCGTGTCTTTAAAGTAGTGTATTCAAGCGGGATGTTATAATAGGGAGTGTCCTGCAAATTTCTCCTTTGACAAAGATCAGATGCAAATGTAACCCCGTATCAGCGGAGTTGGTGTTAATGCGGCAAAATGAACCGCCAGAAAACACTGCAAGTTCTACGTGTTAACTATGAGGATGAGCTTATAATAATGGAACCACTCGGCTCTATTTCATTAACATCTCTCAAAGGGCAGAAATGCCATCATTATGCACCAGCGGTATGTGTTATGCTGCACTGGCAGGGAGATAAATCAGGTGAGCTTTTCCATCTGTAATTAAAGAGTTGCGTTGTGTCTGTACTCACAACGTCCTCAGACCTTCCACTGCCCCAACCCAGCTAGAAATACATTTAGCTCCAAACTTTACAAACGCCTCTGGAAGAGATTGGCTGAATGGGACAATAGTTATGAACAAGAGCTTTGCTCTTCTTCTGTGGACAGACTGAAGCATTGACTGCAAGGGTCATATTACTCAGGCTACAGTTATCAAAGGGAATTCCCTTCGCAAGTACTCCTGTCTTTTCTGATCCAAGCACCTTTAGTTTTGGACTGAGATCTTGCCTGTCTCCGTGTATTTGTTGCTTCAATAAAAACCTCTCTCACCATATCCTTCTCTCCCTTGTCCACCCAGTCTCTCCATGTGGCTCGCTGTTTTCTCTGGGCTTCGGAGCTGTTTGAAAGCGCCCAGACTCCCTCCAGTGGTAGATTATCATGCCGCATTTCATTTTCGTATTTCTTAAACAGACTAGGAGAAAACTGAGACCTATAAAAGTCCACACACTGGACTAGTCTATGGGTCTTCTCTAGTCAGAACGACCAAATACAAAGAACAGGTCAAATACCAATTTAATTTATTTGCTTTGTTGTGTTTCTCTTTTAAGAGCCAAAATTCCTTTCTTAAAAATAGTATTAAGATGATCTTATGTATTTTTCTTCGGTTTAGATTATTTTATGTATTTTTCTATATCTAATATGTATTTACATACATTGGTTTCTAGTTATATATACTCTACTACATACTAATATTTTTGAAGTTGTGGATGGATATTCAGTTTTGTCACATTTAAAAAAAAAAGAATGTCTTTCAATTTCAACCCAAGGACTGAGAGATTGTTTTAGTTCAAATGCTATCTAAACAACTTTAGGGCTTTGGGATGGATCTCCTTAACTACAGCTATTGAAGAGAGAAGCACAGTAGCTGGCTTCTGCTCTTTTATTTTTCTCTTGGTTTCGTGGAAAAAGCGTTGTAGCAAAGCATTGACTATTTTATTTAAACCATTTTGTTTGTTTACTGTATATTTCTACTGAAGTTCAATCCTGCACACCCAATACTTTGCAAGATATACAGGAGCAGAAGACCCTTTGTACACTTCCTGCAATAGAGAGGTACAGAACACCAGTAAAGTAAGTAAAATTAATACTGTTTATAACTGTAAAAAAGTGAAAATACTGGTTGTAGTAGAAAGACATAGCTGTTGTGGTACTGTCTCCTCTCCAACTATTTTCATTTAATAAACTTTTTTTAAAGGGCTGTATTTTATTAATTTATAGACAATGCAGAAAAAGACTTCCAACCAAAACAAAACAGTATTTAAAAATCATTCTTTAGTGACTGAAAAGTGTTTTGCTCTTTGCAGATGTCACAACATGAACAATTTATATGAGAATACTGAATATCCAACAGTCAGAAAAACATTATCCTACTGTCTAATGCCCCCTTCTGTAGTGACATGATTAAGCAATTATTGATGTAAGTTGTAAACTGCTACTGCATTCCAATAAACAACTCTGACCTTGCATGCATTTAGTATAATCATAAGGATGGTTAGCAGGATTGTTAGAAGTTCAGTATTAATTTCAGTTAAGCTATTTTGAATTACGTATTTCCAAGTTTATAAACAGTAAATCTAAATTGACTGATGATTGGCTTCCATAGCTGCCAATTTATCCCTTGCTTGACAATCTTAAAAATGCATAAATATTAATTATGTAATATGTGTTTTCCGGCAGTTATTACATAGCATTTTTACTGCCTTGGGTATACTTGTGGTGCTTTTAAGAATTAGGCTGATTAGGTACCATGAAATATTTTTTGTACATAATTAATAGTAGCTTTAGACTTACACTTATACTGGGTTTTCCTTTAATGTATCTGAGAAAGCTGCAGAGAAATATTTGGCTTTTCATGGACATTTAAAAGTAATTGAAGAGTATTTTAATTGTTTTGAACCATTAATCAAGAGCAATAGCAGGTTATTTAAACAGATGTGAATTACATACTGAGCCACATCCTGCCTGTCTTATTCATACAAGCAGTTCTGTTAAAACAACTTGTATATTTCATAAGTGTCCGATGAACTAGAACTAAAATAAAGATAGTTTAATGTTAGCTAATTGCACACATCTAAATAATAGGACCAACCATCTTAACACTTTTCCTTCAACATATGTGTAGCATTTTGGGTTTTCAGAGTTTATTTTTGAGATACAAATTTTGGATCCTATTTTAACAATAAACAACCGGGGCCCAATCCTTCTCCTACTGAAACTGATGATTTCATTGGGGAAAGGACTGACAACTAGGATTTTATCTATAATTAAAAATTGAGTGAAGAGACCAGCTTTAAGAACCACTGCTCCTCCCCTGCAGAAAAAGTTTAAAACTGACAATAGCATAACTTTCAAGAATTTTCTGTGTATGTTTGGTAGAAAGAGAAAGGGAGTTCATTTCATTTTATTTCAATCTAATTTTATTGTATTAAGTTAAATACAAGATTCTGTTTATATTGCTGAGTCTTTTAGTGGATTTTGTGTGTTTACCTGATGTTCTTTCTGTGGAACAAAATATATTAAAAGTTCAGCTTTTGTGTATCTGTTGCATACACTGAAATATCTGTTTCAGGACTTCCAAACATAAAATGTTCTTACATTTTTTAAATCCCTTTCTGTTTCCATAAAACTACTACTGACATATCACTTATAGATTAAACTATTTTAAAATTAGTAAGCAAACAAAATGATTAATAGCAATAAATTATCTCCTATTTTACTGTAACTCTCTTGATTATGATAGGCTGTCAAAGAGTAATACAGAACAAAATCTTGAACATAATTTTCATACAACATGTGTAGTAACAAAGTCATATATAATAACTTTAGAGAGAATCATTCAGGTCTTTACAGAGAAGTGTATTCATTATTTGATACCAGCATAGGCAAATATTCATGAGCCAGATAAAAGCCTTTCTTGCTGAGTGATTTTCTGACTTAAGGATTTGTTTTCTTTTTTCTTTCCTCTCTCAGAGATGCATTTACCTAAGTGAGACAGCATGTGGGTAATGTATACATGGATTTTTTTTTGTTGTGTAATTTTGTGGAAAAGTGGAGAATCAAATGATCACAGATAAACTGGACTTAAATATTTAATTACATTTTCTACTAGTTAGAACAGAGGATGAACCAAATTGTTTCAATTCTATTCACAATTCTTTCAATGACCCTGTTTGGCCATGGCCCTGTACTTAACCTCTCTCATCCTCTGTATTCCCATGTATAAAAAGATACATATATATACATACACACACACACCAACTTCAGCAGAATGTGCTGACACTTAATTCATTAATGTTCATAGATTTTCAGATTCTGTTGAGATCTTCAGTTTCAAGAAGCTGTGTAAATGCAAACTGATAATGATATTTTTGCAAACTTTCATCTGTGTTTTCACCAGGTACTGTTCTCAACAGCTGTTGGACACCACCAAAACCCTGCCTATTCTTTTACCAAATTGTTCTTGGAATTTCTTTATGCCTTTAATGAAAGTTATCAATAATCATTAGCACTCTTTTTATTTCAACTTCTTAGTACAAAATCTATGCATATGTCTGAGTTTAACTCACCAACTGGAAAAAAAGAATGGAACTGTTGATAGACATCATCTGCACATCTGACTGCTATTCTGAAAACTTTAAATTTAAAATATATTAAGAAAGACCTTTGAGAAGAAGAAAGCAGAGGATTTCCTTGAGCTTTAAACTGACACGTAAGCATTCTTTTCAAAAAAACTTGAGATATAAAGAATTACAGGGGAGAAGAGTTTCAAAGCCATAAATGAGAGTTGAGCACCTGATTGCTCTTTGGAAAATCTTTCCATACATGTGAAATTACATCATCACAGCATAGATGTAAAATTGAAAATATTTGTTAAATAAAATGTGAAATTCTTTTCAGTATCATGGTTTTTACTGATAACTGCCCATGTCGGTCAGTTTCTTAATTTTGATGAATAGAATATTGATACATTTTTTAAGGTAAACATTTGAATTAAAAATGCTATTAAGTTACGATATTTTGTATCCTAGAATACTGAAAATGTTAAACTAACAGTTTGCTTTGCCATCTAGTCAAAATGTTCAGTTTAGTCTCTGGCTACCCAGAAAAACTATGTTGGGCTGTTTTGCCATTAAAGATGAATGGACGAGAATAACTATTGGTAAAACAGTGCAGCTGATGCAGTTCAGGCTATTGTGTCAAACTAATTCTTGCCGGCAAGAGTAAGTCTCAAGTCCGACACTGAGTTCTCTAAGTACAAAAACACACTGCACAAGTATCTGTCAAACACAAGCAGTTTATTTCCTGATAGTTCTCAGCTGTGCCCCCTTAACTAAAAGAACAACATGATAGGAAAAGTGGCATCTTGCATCCCTTCTGAAAGCTGGGAACCCCATTTCAGCTGCGGATGCGGCACGAGGTCGTTTAGGCTTCCGAGGCACCAGTACCAGAGTCCATCAGTGAGGTCCAAATTGCTATACTGTGGTACAGCTTTAAATATAGGGTCTCTACCATGTTTTGCAGTTTGGAAATTTCCGGGGGTTATGTATTACTTGATAATGTATAGCTTAGCTGTTAACTATCAATCTGGTACTACTTGTCCTTGGACCTTGTTTACATGAACAGTACATCTGGGTAAACAAGACTGTTATGTGTTCCTGTTCTTTCTCCTACCCTTATCTATAACTTGTTCTTGCTACAATGGCACCACGGCTTATCTTAAATGGTGTGTGTTCATGGAGGCCTGATTCTGGTTCATCAGATGGAGGAGGAGGAGAGCGGAATGCATGCCTCACCACCCCCATGCTTTTGCATGTACTAAGTTCTTCCGCAATTAACCTCTACACTAATCTACATAGTTTTTAGAGAGTTGTCAATTAGGTGTTGAATGTAAGGAAAGCTGGTGTTCTAATATGCTAACCAGTTCAAGTCTGTTCAAGCCAAGGGAGATGGCTTCTCACTCTCACAATCCTTGACTACAGACAATCCCCTAACCTGAAGCAAATTCTTTTCAATAGCCACACATCATTCTTCAAGCACACTCACCCAGGAACTTACCCCTGCAATAACCCCCATTGCCAGCTCTGTCCACACATTTATACTAACGACCCTATCACAGGACCTAACCACATAAGGCACCATATTAGAGGCTCATACAACTGCACATCCTCTAACGTGATATGTGCCAGCAATGACCCTCTGTTGGCCAAACTGGATGGTTTCTATGACAAAGGATTAATGGTCACAAATCAAATATTCAAAGTGGTAACACACAGAAACTTACAGGGGAACATTTTAACCTGCCTGCGCACTCATTAATAGACTTAGAAGAATGGCTACTTTTAGAAAGGAATTTCACAAGCCAACTAGTGCAGTGAGAGAATGCAGAATTGACCTTCATATGCAAATTTGACACAGTGTCCCTTGGCTTGAACAAAGATTTGAACTGGTTAACATATTAGAACACCAGCTTTCCTTACGTTCAACACCCTATTGACATAAAAAGCTAAGTATGGGACACTTCCAACTCACTCAATTAGCCTTATTATCATTGGAACTACAACTGGCAGGTATTTTTTTCTTCCCTCTCCCTTCGTAGTCGGTAGGTTCCCCTCTTTTTTTCTCTTCTCAAGATCATCTCATCTGAAGAAGTGGGCTTTGACCACTATTTACACACACACTGTCAGAACCTTTTTTTCCATAACAGATTCTTCCATTTCTGTCAAAGCTCAACTGACATCACTTTTCAATAGTCTTATACAACCTCCACATGCCTTCTGCTGAGCGGGGTTGTCTCTTCTGAGCACTTAGGGTAGGTTCAGCCAAACAGAAACACAGATGAAATACTTGCCCAATCTTATCTATGCCAACAAAATAGGCTTAAACTTGAAAAATGCCACAAATAGGAAGCTATTAAAGTTCATAGAAATGCAGCTGGGGAAAGGAAACTTTCAGGGGAAAGAAGCCAGTGGTCAGGCATGCACCGCTGCCTTGCAGAGATTTCTCCCACAGCTCCCATTAGCCATAATGGAGTCAAGGCCAATGGAAGCTGTGGAGTTGACACTTGGGGTGGAGGCAGCATGCGGAGCGCGGGGATGTGCTGCCTGCTTCTGGGAGCAGCACAAAGAGAGGGCAGGTAGAAAGCCACCTTAGCTGGTGGTGTGGGCAACAGCTGGGGACCCCTGGGCTCTTTTAAATTGTCTGGGGACCACAGGCAGGGTCAGGAGATGCTCCAGGAAAGGTAGCAGGTGGGACTGGGGGAGAGATCCAGTGCCAAATATTGGTGGAGGCAGACTCCTGGAACCCGCATATTTCTGGAGCATAGGCACCACATGCCCATATAATTCACTGCACCTGACCAAATGTCAGGGCTTGGCCACAAATTGGACCTTATTCTCAATCCGGGGGCTACCCCCAGCAGAAGCAGACTTGGATCCACAAGAGAGTTACCAGACACACTTTGGCTATGTCTATACTGCAGTGCTATTTCGGGATACCAGAGGTATCCCAAAATAACTGTTCAGTGTCTTTTGAGCACACCCATTATTTTGAAATATAACTGGCTTGCTATTCTGATGTCCCTGTAAACTTTATTCCACAAGGAGTTATGGATGTTTCGGAATAGCGATTTATTTTTAAATAAGTGCTGTGTAGACAGTGCCAAGTTTTGAAATAAGCTATTTTGAAATTGACTCAAAATAAGCTAAGCAATTTGTATAGCTCAAATTGCATAGATTATTTCAAGCTACGGGTGCAGTGTAGATGCATCCTCTGAGAGCAGGTGAATTAGGGTTCCATGGTTCTTTGTTGATTTCCAGCTGGTATTTGTGACTAGGTTTTTTGAAAGGTAAAATGATGCCCAGCATACCTGGTGGACAACGTTAGACTGAATTGCCATGGTATGAACATCCTTTGAGCGATCTGAGATACAATAGATAGTGTCCCAAACCAGTCTTTAGAAAGGCTGCAAAGTTAGTGAGATTCCAGCAGTATGCATGCCACAGTCTGCTTGTGCCATTTCCAAATGAATATTGCTCCCCTGACCATCTATAGTGGTATAAACCACAAAGTGCTTGAAAGGTCCAAATGGGTTCATACTTAGAATTTTATCTTACTAACCCTACAACTTTCATGTACATAGGATCACCAGAGTGTATATATGCATTGGGATAAGACTGAAGGTGCTTCCTTTTGAAAAGTTAGCTCATAACTACTCTCTCAAATATTTCATCATGAATTATTCTATACATATTAGACCCTATTTTAGCTTTTCTATACACAAATCTAGTATGATCTCAATTTTTGTTTATTGTAAATTGACATAAGAAAATGCTGGTTCTTGAAAATGAAGTTATCAAAATCTTCATACATATTTAATAAATAAATCCCATACCTTTTCAATGTTTACTTTGATGTTTTTTTCTGTCCTCCATTTTTTATCTTTGTCATAAATATTTGAAAGGCACACGCCATCTATATGAATTTTGAAAGGTGGTTTTGAAATCAAAATATATCAAGCTTTAATTTTTAGGTGAAGAAGTCACCAAAGATTATACAATTTAGATATAGAGGATATGTGTGAAATATATTCATACCTTACAGTTGAAGAGTTGAAAGTACAGAAGTCAATAACTAAGTAATTATTCTTAAGTCAGAAAGGAGGATCCTGAAGAGAATTCCTAAGATCTCTTAATGAAATGCAGTTATTAATGTCTAATAAAATCCATTGTGCATTCTATTTGTATAACAGCATTTAGCATTTTTGCACAAACAAAAGAAAACAAACTCTAATTGTTTTACACTTCTAAAATCCTCTGTCAACAGGGATATAGAGAAGGTGCTTTGTGTAGAAAATCATGTCACTGTAGAGGTTGCCAATGAAATCAACTAATCTGGTATCTCTTAGACAGTATAAAGGTTTTCATTTTGAGTGACAACTGATGTTATCTACTGTGCAAACATTGCCACCTTTCCCTGAACAATGAAACAGGAATATAACAATTTATTTTACCCTATTACTAGACCAAACTTCTGAAAAAATCAGGATGTGATGCTAGAGGGCAAAAACACATTTAAAATAAGAGTACTTTTCAGTGCAGTAAATTGACTTAAGGTTTGACCAGTTCAATATTTCTCTAATGTATTAGAATATGATTTGTAGTTGAGTTTCATCAGAAAAGATTTACATGGTATATATTACATTAGCATCTCTTCACACTTGGTATATTCACATGTTGTATGATGCATGTTAAATTCTGTCCATGTCTACACAGTTTCATAAGCCCCAAAATGGATGTAAATTTTTATATTTATATTCCAAAAAATAAAGGGGAGGAGACACATAATGATAAAAAAAAGTAAAGGAATGGGACTTGAGGGAAAAGAATAGAAGTGGAATCCGGAGAATGACAGTTCATTTTCCATCAAGTAGAAATTAATCAAAAGTTTCAAAAATGTTTGTCCAAATCTTCCCAATTTGTCTGAAATTCCTCTTCTCTGAAAATGTCACCTGTTCTTTGGCTGCCAGGTCAGCCAAGCTTCTATCCCTGTTCTTCCATCTAAGTAATATTAGTCACCAGCAGACTTACCCAGTGTTGCTCGAGTTCTTTAGTACAGGAGGCTGCCAGTATGGGGGACGCAGGAGTCAGGACAGTGCTTGAAGATAGGGGGCTCAGAGCAAGAGGCTGGGAGTGTGGGGGTAGAGAGAGAGCTCAGGGCACGGTGTGGGGGTGCTGGAGTCAAGAGAAGGCATTGAGAGGAAGGGGAGTCAGAGTAGGGGATGGGGGTGGGAGTGGCTACCGGTTTCTCCCTGGAGCCTGTGTGGGGTGGGATGCTGCGCTC